CCAAAGGGACATTCCATACCATGGGACGTCACGCTCAGTACATAAACTGGGGGAAAGCTGCCCGGGGGGGCCGCTGCTCGGGGACTGGCTGGGCATCGGTCGGCGGGTGGTGAGCAACTGCATCGTGCATCACTTGCTTTGTGCATTATTATTATTTTATTTCATTTCAATTATTAAACTGCTTTTACCTCAACCCACGAGTTTTCTCACTTCTACTCTTCCAGTTCTCTCCCCCATCCCACCGGGGAGGGGGGGGTGAGCTGTGTGGTGCTCAGTTGCCGGCTGAGGTTAAACCACAACACTGCCGACGGGAAGCAGTGAATGAGTTCCTTGTTTTGCTTTGCTTGTGTGCAGAGATTTTGCTTTGCCTAATGAACTGTCTTTTTCTCAACCCACGAGTTTTCTCACTTTTCCCCTTCCGATGCTCTCCCCCATCCCACCGGGGGGGAGTGAGCGAGCGGCTGCGTGGTGCTTGGTCGCCAGCCGGGGTTAAGCCACGACACTCTGGCATTAGCAGCTCAGACTTTTCAATTAATAAATTAGTAGCAGTGCCGATGTCATTGATGGGAGTTTCTCCGCTCTGAGTGAAGAATTAGGTCATAACCTTTGCATCAAACGACCTGATTTTTTTTACTAGATGAAAAAATTCATCTAGTTCTTGAGTGCATTAACAGCGATATAAACAGGTACCACTAGCCCCGCAGCTTGGGGAGAGGGAGGGAGACACGGCGGGCCTTGGTAGCTGTGGAGGAAAGAGTTTTCCCCCCTCGGGGAGAGAATCTGCAGGCGAACGTTTCCCTCACAGCTCCTGCGCCGCAAAATTAAAGAGCGCGGGGTCTGCATCGGGAGCCGATGGCACCGGCCGTCCCCGCCGTCGCTGAGGCAGCGGCCATTTCCTACTGCCAAAGGCAGAGCAGACCTGGCCTGAGGCCGGACCCCCCCTCTGCCGCCTCAAGCACGAGACAGGCCTCGACCAGCACCTGGTCGGGGCTGCCCGGGGTCAACGCTCTTGACAGGGCTCGCTCAGCGGCGCGCACCGGCAG